AAACACGTAAAATAAAAATTCGGCCCAGTGTGATTGCTACGGTTCTCTTCATTCACTTGCACAATATGGCATTATAAGCAATCGAGTTGAAAAACACACAAAGATTTTACATTGCATGTTAAATATATTTTAGAGCATTAGTAGCAGTTGGTCACGAAGGACCAATACAAGTCATGTTTCACTTAAAAACCTTCGTGGCCCACAAGATACCCTATTTACTTCACCCTATTTACCATCCAGATGAAGTACAATTTCAATTTGCAAGGACGAGAATAAAGGCCCTTTCTCTTAATTGTTATTATTACTATACACATGGGAACAAACCTTCGTTACAGATAACTGTTCACTCTGGAAAGAGCATTATCAACTCATGATCAAATTCTACAGAGCGATACACTGACTATAATGAATATTTATATGAAGTAGTCCGTTATTTTTTTAAGGTAATTAATGTGCATCAATAACGTACGTCATAGCATGATCCAGTTCAAGAAGAGCCAAACTTAATGAATGTAGCGACAGAAAGGAAGGAGAGTGATTTCTGGTATGGCTAACATACATGTACCTATTAATGTGTTTTATCCTCTCTGTAATGTAGATGTAAGTAACTCAGTTTACCTTTGTTCGGATTTTTAACCCCGGAGGGTTAGCCACCGAGGATAACCCAAGAAAGTCAGTGCGACATCGAGGACTGTCTAACTTATTTCCATAGGGGTCCTTAATCTTGTCCCCCAGGATGCGACCTACACCAGTCAACTAACACCCAGGTACCTATTTGCTGCTAGGTGAACAGGACAACAGGAGTAAGGAAATCGTGTCGAAATGTTTCCACCCGCCGGGAATCGAACCCGGGCCCTCCGTGTGTGAAGCGGGAGCTTTAGCCACCAGTCCACCGGGCCTGGTATAACAATGACCCCAATGGAAATAAGTCACTGACTTTTTTTGGGTTATCCTAGGTAATCTACACATATGCTGCTATGTATGATAAGTTATGTAACCGGGTGTGGCCCGGTGGCCTGGTGGCTAAAGCTCCCGCTTCACACACGGAGGGCCGGGTTCGATTCCCGGGGTGGAAACATTTCGAGTTTCCTTACACTGTTCACTAGCAGCAAATAGGTACCTGGGTGTTAGTCGACTGGTGTGGGTCGTATCCTGGGGGACAAGATTAAGGACCCCAATGGAAATAAGTTAGACAGTCCTCGATGACGCACTGACTTTCTTGGGTTATCCTGGGTGGCTAACCCTCCGGGGTTAAAAATCCGAACGAAATCTTATCTTACATGCCTTTTGATTTAGTCACACCTATCACATAGGATAAATTATTTACGTTTTCTTTCATACAGATAAGGTCACATTTGATTGTATAAGGGTGACTCAAACATTTTGTATAGACTAAGTAAGTTCATTAAGGTATACACGAATAGTTACATAGATTATCATACATAGCAGCATATGTGTAGAAACCTAGAATAACCTCCCAAAAATCAAACAGTGGCTTATTTTCATTGGGGTCCTTTAATGAGACTTTTTTGACTATTTTTTTTGAAGCAGATATTTGGAATCTTTTTGCATTTTCTGGAAGCGAGTTCCAAATTTTAGAGCCTGTTATCAGCATGGAATTCTTAGATAGGTTGTGTCGAACAAGTGGTATGTGAAAGATGCATCCGGCATGTTTCCTTACACCTGGTGCCCCTGTTTATGTAGATTAATCTGAACAAAATCTTCGTCTTTTTCATCAAATAACGTTACTTATTTCCGTCAGATATACAACTGGCGAGATCATTTGATGAGATAATTTGCGGCAAATAGGCAGGATGTTGCAGCGCAGAAAGGTATTTAGACAAGAGGCCTGTCCAGTCAGTGAGTATGCTGCTCTGCATGCTGTCAACATGTAGTATGGGGTATCAACCTCTGGCTATAATATCTGCTTATTTTTCACCCAGAGTGTCATACAAAATCTATATAAAGTCTTCTCTTTCTTGATGTTTTTCCCCTTCATTCTTGCAAGTGTTTATTTTACTTAAGTCACCCCTAAAATGTAGATCGGCTTAGCCGTTTTCTTTCACAGTGCCAGTTATACATGCTTTACTCATAAGATCACTATCTCAAGCGTTTATGAAGTATGAGTAAGATTTCATTCAGATTCTTTAAATAGGTATAAGTAAGTAAGTTTTATTCAGGTATACACAAATACAGTTACATAGAATTATCATACATAGCAGCATATGTGTAGAGAACCTGGGATAACCCAAAAAAGTCCTTTTGTAAATAAACCTAGGTCCTTTAGCAGAAGAAATAAACAAATTTATTTGCAAAGACGATACATATGTGCAGTACTAGAGACTGCACTATTTAATAATATATACTTTAGATTCAGATTATTTCAGCACGATACAATGATTGAACAGAGATGGATGAAATTTAGATGTTCATGCAGAAAGACCCTTAGTACGCAGAGTATGCTAAGTTGTGCGATGAAATTCGAGAAGAATGATTTTTTTATTATTAACCAATTATCCCTGAGGTTTAGCAACGAAGAATAACCCATTAAAGCCACGTTGTCTGAAAGTCTAGATTATTTCCGTTGGGGGCTTTAATTTTGCTTCGCAATGATGCGACCTACATCAGTCTGCTAAGCCCCAGGTACCAGCTTATTGATACGTGAACAGGCGTAAGAAACATGCCCTGCTTTTTTGACTCGTTAGGGGAATCGAACCTTGGTCCCTCAGGGTGTGTGTGTGTGTATTCACCTAATTGTGGTTGCAGGGGTCGAGACTCAGCTGTGTGTGTGTGTAGTCACCTAGTTGAGGTTGAGGGGCCGAGTCCAAGCTCATGGCCCCGCCTCTTCACTGGTCGCTACTAGGTCACTCTCCCTGAACCGTGAGCTTTATCATATCTCTGCTTAAAGCTATGTATGGATCCTGCCTCCACTACATCGCTTCCCAAACTGTTCCACTTCCTGACTACTCTGTGGCTGAAGAAATACTTCCTAACATCCCTGTGATTCATCTGTCTTCAACTTTCAACTGTGTCCCCTTGTTGCTGTGTCCAATCTCTGGAACATCCTGTCTTTGTCCACCTTGTCAATTCCTCTCAGTATTTTGAATGTCGTTATCATGTCCCACCTATCTCTCCTGTCCTCCAGTGTCGTCAGGTTGATTTCCCTTAACCTCTCCTCGTAGGACATACCTCTTAGCTCTGGGACTAGTCTTGTTGCAAACCTTTGCACTTTCTCTAGTTTCTTTACGTGCTTGGCTAGGTGTGGGTTCCAAACTGGTGCCGCATACTCTAATATGGGCCTAACGTACACGGTGTACAGGGTCATGAACGATTCCTTAAGATATCGGAATGCTGTTCTGAGGTTTGCTAGGCGCCCATATGCTGCAGTGTGTGTGTGTACTCACCTAGTTGAGGTTGCGGGGGTCGAGTCCGAGCTCCTGGCCCGTGTGTGTGTGTGTGTGTGTGTGTGTGTGTGTGTGTGTGAGTGTGTGTGTGTGTTTTACCTGGAGTGAGTGTGCGCGCTGATCTAGTTGTGGTTGCAAGGGTCGATTCACAGCTCCTGGTCCCCGCCTCTTCACTGGCCGTTACTCGGTCACTCTTCCCGCTCCATGAGCTTTATCATACCTCTCCTTAAAGCTATGTATGTATGTGTGTGTGTGTGTGTACTCACCTATTTGTACTCACCTATTTGTGGTTGCAGGGGTCGAGTCCTAGCTCCTGGCCCCGCCTCTTCACCGGTTGCTACTAGACCCTCTCTCTCTCCCCGCTCCATGAGCTTTATCAAACCTCGTCTTAAAACTGTGTATGGTTCCTGCCTCCACTACGTCATTTTCTAGGCTATTCCACTGCCTTACAACTCTATGACTGAAGAAATACTTCCTACTATCTCTCTGACTCATTTGTGTCTTCAACTTCCAATTGTGGCCTCTTGTTTCTGTGTCCCCTCCCTGGAACATCCTGTCCTTGTCCACCTTGTCTATTCCACGCAGTATTTTATATGTCGTTATCATGTCTCCCCTGACCCTCCTGTCCTCCAGTGTCGTCAGGCCGATTTCCCTTAATCTTTCTTCATAGGACATTCCCCTTAGCTCTGGAACTAACCTTGTGCAAACCTTTGTACTTTCTCTAGTTTCTTGACGTGCTTTATCAAGTGCGGGTTCCAAACAGGTGCTGCATATCCAGTAGGGCTGACATACACGTGTACAGTGTCTTGAATGATTCCTTACTAAGGTGTCGGAATGCTGTTCTCAGGTTTGCCAGGCGCCCATATGCTGCAGCAGTTATCTGATTGATGTGTGCTTCCGGAGACATGCTCGGTGTTATACTCACCCCAAGATCTTTCTCCTTGAGTGAGGTTTGCAGTCTTTGGCCACCTAGCCTATACTCTGTCTGTGGTCTTCTGTGCTTGTGTGTGTGTGTGTGTGTGTGTGTGTGTATTAAGTGTGAGAGTTTGTGGACAGTGTGTGTTGTCGTGTGAACTGGGGCCGTTGCAATTGACTCACGACTGCTTTCTCTTGGATATACATGTCAGATACCAGTTTTCCTTTACCTTGATACCTTAAAGTCAAAATATTAAAGTGATCTACTACATCACTAAAGAAAGCCAAATCTCAGATCCATTTAAGGTCAGAGAAGGCTTCTTGACCTTTCCGTTTTTCAGTCGGAAATATGTCAGCTACTTTACCTAAAGCAAAACATCCTTTGAGGAACTATCTTTGCACATCCACCTGAATTCAGTCTGGTACAAAACATTCTCGTACACGTTTCTGGGCATGTTGCCTGAAAAAATTCTCGTTTGACGCAACATTTGTCACAGGTTCGAACCGGAGAATCCTACTGCATAAAGCATGCTAGTATATAATGCAGTCAATTTGCATATGGAGATAAACAACGCCCGCGGGGGCGTTGACCCCCGGAGCTCTCTCCAGGTAAACTCCAGGTAAACACAAAGTTTCTTGCAAAGTTTTTTTTAGCATTTAATAACTACCTGCAAAACCCACCTGAGTAAAGTTTCTGCCGACGCTCTTGATAAAGACGTAGTTCTCAGGGAGGTCATCGTTGAGCTGACCCAGGAGCTCCGGCCGCAGCTCATGTAAGGTCACGTCAGGAAGCACCCGAATGAAGCCCGCAGAAACAGTCTCCTCCACCACTTGGTTCCTCGCCAGCCTCCTGAAGGGAATCCACTTATCCTGCGGCAGGATGTACACATGGACCTCCACCAGCTGTGGGTTAGGAAAAATAATTATCATTATTATTGTTATTATTTCTTTATTATTAATGCGAGTCAGACCATTCATAAACAAATAATGATTTCCTAATTTACTCAAAGACATCAGCATGATTTTCTAACTCCTAAAGTATTTAAATATTAACAATGTGGTATTTTTTCTTAAGACCGAAGAGTCTTGATTTCGACCACATTATATACCTTACTAATTTACACTCGGGAAATACTGCTTTAAGCAGCACAATAAGAATTAGGAAATCGTGCACGTGCTTATTTAATTACACCAGACGAATATTTACACTAAAGAAAATAAATAAAAACAATGTCCTTCCCTGTTAAACCTTATTAACCCTCTATTTTCAACTTTAAAATTTAATATTTAACTGTTACACAAATAACTAGACCATTTTAAACCATCTTTGGCTATTTTAGATTATAGCATTAAAAAACAACGAGCACACAGTCTAAAGGTAATATATATTTTTTTTATATTTTATTTAAAGCAATGCAAATACAAGTTGATATAAAACACAGAACAGATTAATACACAAGAATCCAACACAGTGACACCTCAACCAGGTCGTCTAAATACATGCAAAAGATTAATATTACATAGAACAATGTAACACTGAAGTTCAACAAAGCTCAAAGGCTACCTATGCACATGTTTATTTACCAATGAAACTAACATCACCACAAAATATAAAACATTGCTACAAATACAAGCGAAGATAAGTATACTAAAATGTCACAAGACCTTAAATAATACTAACACAATGTGGAATATTACATGCCAAACACATGTATACAACTACCAATAAAGTTGGTATTACCGGTAATGACTTAAACTCATTACACATTAATTACCCCCCCCCTAAAGGTAATATTAAGGAAAATTAAACCATGTAACTGTCAAGACACAGCTTGTTTACTTCCTGATCCCCTCAAGGAAGGCTCCTTGACGCTGGTGAGGGGCTCTTGATCTAGGGAATTGGATCTGTGCTCCAGTTCCCTGAATTAAGCCTGAATGCCTTCCATCCCCCCATAGGCGCTGTATAATCCTACGGGTTTAGTGCTTCCCCCTTGATTATAATAATAATAATAATTACTTCCTGATATACTCATTCACCCTAACTCCTCGCTCGTATATATTTAATGATAATTTTAGTTAATATGCATAATCGTAATCTACATTGTAGGAGTTACTACAGTTACTGAAAGGGCTGAGGTAGTGGGAAGGGTGTTGTTGATAGCAAGAGAGGTGGTGGAAATAGATGAATGATTGTTGGAAGAAGAAGAGTTGGTTGAGAAAGAGGAAGAGTTTATGAAGAGAGGAAGTACCGTCTTCATCAACGTTTTACTATGGAAGTAAAATGAAGATAGATGGGAACTGATCTAGCTAGAGAATGTGTTGATGGCGATAGAAAGGTTAAAGTTGGTATATTCGTGAAGTAACGTATTAGCGAAAGTTGTATGGGTCTCTAGTCGTCCACAGTCTGTTACTTTCACTGTTGTCGGCAGACGGCAATTCCCTACGAGTGTTTGGATCAAAATGACGCACGTAATGCACAACTAACCAGTGCAGAGGATACCTGGAGAACGCCGGGTCACCATCTGGAGAAGACCCGGGCCGGAAGTACCGGCAAATCCTTAATGAATGAATGAACCTGGAGAAGGTTCCTGGGATCAACATCCCCGTGGCCCGGTCTGTGACCAGGCCAGAGGATACACTGTTTGGTTAGTCGAGTTTAAAGATTATCGACTCCTCGAAAAGTCATTAAGGTTGTGTATCATCTGTTCACCACCAATCAAGAATGCTTTAATCCCTAAATTATTATATAACCAAAAAGAAGCGCTAAACCGCAAAGGTTTTTAATCTCTAAAACAGGGATCAATATAAATATATATACACAGATGCAAGTAAGCTTATTTAGTATCCTTACACAGGTTCAGATTTTTACAATTATCTTTGATACTGACATGTATATAAATTACCTAGGATAACCCAATAAACCAGACAAAACTATTTACATAGATGCAGCACACTGATTAGACACCATTAATGCTTCCCGTAGTGAACACAGACGCAGTGCACCAGACACGAAAACACCACAGACCCAGCTCTGTGATCAAAGACAACCAATTCCATTCTGTGGCCTAAATAAAAAAAAAGTCCCATTTGCAACTAGTTTATTCTGTCCTTGGAAAAGCTGCAAATTTCACTAAAGTTACATTAATGTGAACAATGGTGGCGTGCTGTAAACGAAAACATTTTCTGAATCAGTGACAAGACAAAGAGTTGACTTAACGCGAGTTAATAAACAAAGCAATAAACATGATAGACATTACCTCGTGTACAGCAGTCTTCACTTGGGGTTACCCCCTCTTTTTTATATTCTCAGTTACAAAGGTTGGTATTGACATATATATCTGTTACATTTGCATTAGGTTTAGCGCTTTCTTGAGAATAATAATAATAATAATAATGTTTTAATTTATGTCTTCTACTGGTCTTTCTCCTGCTTTCATTTATGCAAAAACAGTGATTATGTGTGAGTGAGGTGAAAGTGTTGAATGATGATGAAAGTATTTTCTTTTTGGGGATTTTCTTCCTTTTTGGGTCACCCTGCCTCGGTGGGAGACGGCCGACTTGTTGAGAGAAAAAAATGTAAATAAACTGTGCATATATTTATAAAGAGAAACATGTTGCAAAACACGTTTTTATTGGGTCAACGTTTCATTCTGAGTAGAGCTTAAAAAGTCGTGTAGAAGATACACAAAAATATATTCGCTTTAAACTATTGTAGCCGGTGTTTCTTAGTGGAATTTTAGATTTGGTTTTGGGCTGTGTAGGTACCATCTCGCCATTTTTATTAAAAAAATTCACTTCAAGGAAAGTGCCTTGATTCTGGGTAGTTAATTTACTCATAGTAGAAAAATGGAAAGATAAAATCTCTTCAAAGGTGAGGAGAGTCTCGAGTTAAATTCAGATTTCTTACGGTCGACATATTAAAGACATTTTCCAGAAAAGGAATTTAGAACTCCTGCCAGGAGTATGCCTGTACCTGTGTGTCTAGTAAGCAGATTTAGAAGAGAAGCAGGAAGGTATTGCACTTTCTGGCGAAGGTTAGGTTATTTAAGGTTTGTCAGGAAACTGGACAAATTTTTTCTGACGTGGGTCTTACTCATATGATGACCCGTAGTTAGAGTTTTTGGTCATCTGACAGAGGCCTTCCGCTGGCTTACCCATCAACTCCTTAAAAAATCATAGTTATGATTATTCGACTGTACGGAAGACTAACTACCTACCCACCTTCCTTATATTTTTTTTTTATATTAAAATGAGTAAGACTTAACAATTACGGGTCTTTTCCAGTGTAACTATTTGTTGAATAGCAGTTAAGTGTAAGTGAATAAATATTGCCACAGACCGGATTATCATTAAAAAATATTCCCCTATAAATAGCACGATGTAAAATCTTCCATGGCTATTATAATATCCACCGCTTTGAATTTTTTGCATACATTTTCTATTTTCAATATTCTCATGTCGTAGAGCAATCTGGCTCGGGAACCTACAAAGGCACGAATTTAGAGTGAAATATTAGGAGTTTCTTCAAGGGGATCATTGATGTTGATCTCTAAGATTTTCCTTCCTGGCAGACCAGTTCAAAAAGTCGATTTAATAAAATCTTGATTGTTTAAAAAAAATACGATTTCAAAAGATTAATTCATATGACAAATTTGAATACATTTAATTTTATTTTATACTAAGAAGCGTCGATCCCTTGTTTTATTCGATTGAAATTAATGGCCGAAACTAGGGATAGGCATATATGTATGTATGTACTCACATTTGTGGTTGCAGGAGTCTAGTCACAGCTCCTAGCACCGTTTCTTCACTAACCGCTACTGGGTCACTTCCTGCTCCATGAGCTTTATCATGCATCTTCTTAAAGCTATGTATAGATCCTGCCTCCACTACATCACTTCTAGCTAGCCCATGAATCTCTCTTCTGTTATTTCTTATTCTTTGTCTTATATCTGTTGCCTCACTTTTACTATATCCCATGCATTCCGATTGTCTATCGAGTAATTCCTCAAAATAGGATTGATGTACTCAGACCATTCATAACAAAAGCCGTACATTGTAAGAGTGAACAATCAACGTCAGTGGGAATCAACCCATCAACACTTAAAATAAAGGAACTGGATTTCCCCTTGTAACAGCACGGATGTAATACGTCTGTATTGATGTAATACGTCTGTATTGATGCCCAAGAACCTGGCGTTACCTACTTTTGTCTCTTCATTTTTCTGGTAACATGCCCATAGATCTGGCTGCAGTAACCTAAAACTTTGAAAAGAGGTAAATGTGAAAATTAAGGAGGACTGGAGCAGTAATATTTCGACAATTTCTAAACCCGGATATATTTCTTAACTTCGAGAAATTTATTCTTTGAAATTATTTTTTTTTAGACTTGTGTAGCCATCTTCAATAATTAGTTATAAAGCTCTTAATTTAGGATGAAAGCAGATATAACAGTAATTATCAGAACAAGACTTACGAACAGGGTCTGTAGACCATTTTACTACAATGCTTTACGCAACAAATTCATAAAATGAACAGGATTATCTCGTCTAGAGGTCATACACAGGGTTCACCGAGTATGTTTTATTAACTTGATTAATAATCACTTAAGGTTAAAGCTCTCGCTTCACACGGCGAGGGTCTGGGTTCGATTCCCAGCCAGAGTAGAAACATTGGACGTGTTTCTTTCCACCTGTTGTCTATGTTCCCCATCAGTAAAATGGGTACCTGGGTGTTAGTCGACTGGTGTGGGTCGCATCCCGGGACATTGACCTAATTTGCCCGAAATGCAGAGCATAACAAGGGAGTTTCTATATAGTAGTATGTCATTGATGTCAGCTAGGACTGTATACCATGTACTTGTAGTAAATAAAGATATTATTATTATATTATTATTATCGTAA